CATAGGATCACTATGAGCTGCAAACTACTTGATGCACATAACAACAACAACAACCGTATATATGTATGTGGCATCAAAAATCTGCATTATACATTTGACACAACTTTGCTAGCTGAAAGTGAGGAGGATATGAAATGCTTGCTGCAGAAGATCACATCTCAACATCAAGAAGACAGAGATCCTCACCACAGGAACAACAGTCAACATTACAACAGACGGAGAAACAATTGAAGCTGTCAATAAGAATTTAAGCTGTCAATGATTTTCTCTTGCTTGTCTCAACAATAAAAATCCTTGGTACCAGCTGTCAAGAAATCAGTAGACATATTGTAGCAGGCAAGTCAGCTGTCAGAGACTTCTCCAAAATACTGAAGAGAAAGTATGTCGGTTTGAAGACTAAAGTGTACCTGATTCAGGTCCTGGTCTTCTCAGTCACCTTTTATGCATCAGAGAGCTGGACAATGAATAAGGATGACAGAAGAAGAATTGATGTTTTTGAGTTGTAATGCTGGAGAAGAGTACTGAATATCCCACAGGCTGCCAAATGAGCAAATAGATACGTGTTGGGAAAAGTGCAGCCAGAGTACTCCTTATAGACAAACACAGTATTCATTCATATTTGGGACATGTAGCTAGGTGAGGTTATTCCTTGGAAAGGACATCATGCTTGGAAAAATGGAAGGTCAGAAAAGGAGAAAAAGACCTTGAACACACTGAGTTCAGCAATACACACTAATGTGTCAGAGATGAGGAGAATGGCACAGGATAAGGCAAGGTTTCCTGTTGGCTGCTCATAGGGTCACTATGAGTCCTGCTCAACTTGACAGCACAGGTTGTTGTTAGGTGCCATTAAATCAGGTATGACTCATGTCAACCCTATGAATAAGAGATCAGAACCTGCCCTATCCTGTACCACCTTCACAGTTCCTGAAACACTAGAGCCCATTGCAGCAGTCACAGTGTCAATCTACCTAGTTAAAGCTCTTCCTTTCCTTCACCAACCCTCCACCCTTTCCAGCATCATGTCCTCCGAGGACTAGCACCTCCTAGCAACATGCCAAGAGTGTGTGAGGCGAAGCCTCATCATCCTCGCCTCCAAAGAGCACTCTGGCTGCACTCTCTCCAAGACATAGTTCTTTGTTCTTTTGACCATCCACGGGATATTCCGTAATCTTCTCCAACACCACAGCTGAAAGACATCAGTTATTCTTCTGTCATCCTTATTTATTGTCCAGCTCTCTGTCTTTATAGTGAACTGTTGCTCTCTTCATGGATGATATCCTCTGTATTGTCCCACAACTCATCTGTTCTTCAAACATTGGCATTCAATTCTTCAAACCTATTCTCTTTTAAAAGATGTTTGAGGTTCATAATTAGACATTTAGCAATCAACAGAATGAGTGCAAAAAAATTGTATTAAATCCCCCCTTTTTTCCCCAGAATGCTTTACATTTTCCACAGAACAGAAAATAAAATACCTGGCTATAAAATTAGTTAAAAATACTGTCCTTGATGGTTTTTCCCCATACATACTAGTGTTGTTTCAAACATGTCTTCTTTGTAGCAGGTAGGCCCTGCCACCACTGTGCTTGGCTGAGTTCATAAATCTGTTGTAACCAGTAGCTTCCCTGTCACTTCTCTGGCTCTCTTCTTATTAAAGCCATCTGCCACTGCCATAGTTAATACTGCTGCTTGAACCATAGTAGCCACCTTGGTTTCATGGCTTGACAAAATATTGACCTTCACCACCATAAAGGTTAGAGCTTCTGCCTCCAAAGTTTCCTTCCTTCATGGGTCAAAAATGTAAAGATTGATTTTTGTAATTGCCAAAATTATTGTAGCTTCCACTACCTCCAAAGTTGCTTCCATCATTACCAAATCCATTATAACCATCGTCATGCCTCCATATCCTCCACCACCACCACAGCTTCCACCAAAGCCACCTTGTCCACTGATGTTTCCTCCTGAACTAAAGTTGTCATTTCCACCAAAACCATCTCCACAGCCACCACCAAAATTTCCAGAACCTCTTTGGCTAGAAGAGACACTGGAAATCTCTTGCTTTGACAGGGCTTTCTTTACTGCACAGTTGTGAGCTTTCACAGTATGAAATTCCTGAATAATGATTTTATCTACAGAGTCATGGTCATCAAGAGTTATAAAAGGAAAGTCACTCTTCTTGCCACTGCCTTGGTCAGTCATGATTTTAATCACTTCAAAATAATCTTGTCAATAAGTGATATTCTTTAGTCTCTTCTTTAATTCCACCCACGAAGATCTTTCTCACAGTTAGATGGACACCTGGTCTTTAAAAATATTCTTTTGAGATAGGACTTTTTGTTTCCACAACCCTCACATCCACCTTTTGGAGCATTGTATTAATGGCTGCAGCCACCTCTTCCACAGCTGATTATTTGAAAAATCCAAAGCTGCTATAGTGGTTGGTATTTGGATCTCTTATTACCACAGAGTCCATGAGAGTCTCCCAATAGCTTCTAAGATTTTCATCTGTCATTTCAAAGCCCAACCCTCCGATGAATAGTTTCCGCAGCTGTTCAAGCTCATTTAGAAGACTCTGACTTTGACACGATAGTGGTGGGAATAAACACTTTAGCAATGCTGCCTCAGCAGCATTCTCTGGTAGAGTTATTCTTAAGATAATTTTTTAAATTCAGATAAATAGGCTGAAGATCATATTTTGCTTCTCGTGGACATGTTTTCATTTTCTGTTACCTCAATTTGAACTTGCACAAGAGTAATTGATTGTCTTTTCCACAATCTGTCACTGACCTACTTTTGATTGCTGATAGTGAGCTTCTCCAACAATTCTGTCCACAGATGTAGTCTTCCAGATCTGTACTGCTTTCCCCAACTGATTATTAAACAAATAAAAATACCTACCTTCTGGATCCCAATTACTTTAAATATGAAGCTCCCAGACCTCCATCCCTTTTAGTGTGCCCCATCAAATACTGGCCAAAGATGGAATTACACTTTTTAAAAATGTACACTATCCAGTAGTATAATATCTTGTATTTGGCATTTTTCCAAAGTATACTATAATTTATTTCATTTTTACCATTCTGACACCCACTTGTGACAAAAAGAAAGCCACAAGCACCTGGAGCATTCAATACTTGCCTCTTTTCAATAAGCCAGAGGCTGCATCCAGCTGACCCTAAGACTCCTAAGACACTTGCCCTTATCCTGCAGGCATGGCCTGACATTTCTGTATTTTATTATTCCAGCACCTCAAATGCTGGAGAACTGTGGGCCAGAGTTTTGCTTTCTTCATGGAGGATGAACAGGTTCATCCTAGACAGGGTTTAACCAGGCTGCTCTTTGGAGGTAAGGATTCTGAGGCTTCATCTGACATATTTTGGGCCTGTTGCAAGGTCGGGCCAGTCCTTGGAGAGGGATGTCATGCTTTGGAGGGTGGTGAGACAGCATAAGAGAAAGACACCCAATGAGATGGATTGATTCAGTGACTGGGGTAATGGGGATAGGTGTGTTGGAGATAGTGAGAGTGGCACAGGATAGGGCAGAGTTTATGGCTATTGTATGTAGGGTTGCTATGAGTTGCAGGTGACTTGACAGCACATAACAACAATGCACCCAAAAGAAGCATAATATACCTTCTTCTCCAATCATCTTTTGCTGAGAGTGTATTAAAGTCTCCTACTATTATTATGGTGTTTTCTAATTCCTTTTTCAAGTCTATTAGTATTTGTCTTGTTTATTTTTAGCTTTATTATTTGGTGCAGAGATATTTATTGTTTATGTCTTCTTCTTCTACTTACCTTCTAAGGATTATATAATGTCCCTTCTTGTGTTTTATGGTGGTTTTAACCTTGAAGTCTTTTTTATCAGTGATTATTATTGCTCTTCTTACTTTTTTGGGTTCCCATTAGCTTAGTATATTTTTTTCCCGCTTTTTGGTTCTTAATCTGTGTATCTTTATCTTCACTTCTCTAATGTGTCTCTTATAACTGTATATTGATGGGTTTTAGTTTCTCTTATTTTTCTCTTTATCAGTTCATTTAAACCACCTATGTTCAAGTTCTATCTCACATACTTTGGGCATGTGGCAGAAGGGGTCAGTCCTTGTAGACGTACGTCATGCTTAGAATGATGAAGGGACAGCACAGGAGAGGAAGAACCTGGAGGAGATGGCCTGACACAGTAACTGGGATAATGGATATAGGTGTGTTGGAAACAGATTGGCTCAGGACAGGGCAGAGTTCAGAGCTATTGTACTTATGTCCCTATGAGTCATAGTCAATTTAATAGCACATAATAACAACAACACATCCAGTGCGATTACTAAGACACAAGGTTTTATCTCTGACATTTTGGAGTTTTCCATAGATTTCCTTTAATTGAATTTGTTACTGTTACAAATTTTTTGCATTGCCAAAACCATGCTTGAGAATGCAAAGAAACAAAGGGTACAATAGACAGCTTCATCTACCCATCATATGGTATATAAAACTTGATTTATGTGCATTTTTATTATTTCACAGTCTTCAAAAAATTTATCAAGAGTTGGGATCTAAATATGCTACAAATCTTCAATTCCTAGTACACTATACCATTAAATAATACTTGCACACATTCATCTCAGTTCATGCCTTAGTTACATAACCCCCAGTAGGATTTTGCTGGAAGAAATGCATACATTCCAGGGAAAATTTGTAGCTCAATGACCAAGAGATTACTAGTTAAGATTTTTAGCTCCCAAATGAAGTATTTAATTTAACCGAGAATCCCTTGTTTCTCTGAATCGTCCAACCTCCCGTTGTCTCAGCTACATACCTAAATACCTCAGAAAGTAGGCATCTGACACCTCAAATAATACCAACTTTATTGCCCAGAAATAATTGGCGGGTCCTGTCAGGAGATACTATAGTTCTCCTTAGTGTCCAATTCCTGTTCTGACACTTTTTATCAAGCCTTAACGCCTATTAATAATTGCTTCCCTATCAGGATAGCTTTACTCACCCATTTGTTTCATTCTTGTTAATAGCAAGTCTGGAACTCCCACATTTGGCAAAGGGATTTATTACAAAGAAATTCAGACTTTCCTGATCAAATGGTACCATAACACTGAAATATTTCTCTTGAACCAAAAAGATAAAACCATCGATAGCTTCCTCAAGTCCCTTTTAAGGGGAAAAAAATGTTTTTAAAAAATCACTCAATAGTTTTAAGGTGTAATGATAAAAAAAACCAATCTGGGAATATGAGAATTACCTAATTTAGGGAGGGCCAAAGTGAATACGGAACTTCCCACTGCTACTGGAGCCCAGAATCTAGTTTTACATGCAGGCACTGAATCTGATCAAGGCCATGGTCTTGCTATGCTTCAGAGAGCTGAACAATGGCTAAGGATAACAGAAGAAGTGATGCCTTTGAGTTGTGCTACTGGAGAGGAATATTGAGTATGCCATGGACTGCCAAGAGAACAAACAAGTTTGTCCTGGAGAGGGTGAAACCAGGCTGCTCCTTGGAGGCAAGGATTCTGAGGCTTTGTCTGACATACTATGGGCATTTTGCAAGAGGGACCAGTCCTTGGAGAGGGACATCATGCTTGGAAGGGTGGAGGGACAGAGAAAGAGAGGAAGACCCCAGATGAGATGGATTGACTCAGTGACTGGGGTGATGGGGGCAGGTATGTCAGAGATAATGAAGTTGGCTCAGGATAGAGCAGGGTTCAGAACTGTTGTACATAGAGTCACTGAGTAACAGATGATTCAATGGCTCATAACAATAACAACAACAAAAAATGGAAGTGCTATATTACCTGTTTTTTGCCCCTGACTCCCTAAATGGACAACATAAAGGCACCCTCAAAAAGGTTGGTAACAGCACTTAGCTGGAAAACTGCTACATGTATAGACTGACATTTTGTTTTGTGGTGTTTTACTCTGTGTGTGTGTGCGCGCATGTGTATGTGTTGTTGTTGCTGCTGCTGGCTACTTTGATCCATCCATTTTTCTGTGGTGTCTCTGCACAAAGCACTTATTTTAGCATTTCTTGCAGCATTGGTCTCATTTTCACAAATGCCCTTAATTTCTACATTTATTAAATATCCTGATATCTTCCTCATATTTGAGACTTTCTGAGAACAGCATTTTCAGGTCGCATCTATTTTCTTTCAAAGTTTTTTATATGTCATGCCATTTTCCTCTTGCTTGTATGGTTTCCACTGTGAAATCAGCACTTAATCTAATTGGTTCTCCTTTATAGATAATTATTTTTCTCTGTTTTATATTGGTTTGCATACAAAATTCATGTACATTGTGTTTCACACATTCCTTTCTTTATATAGTGTTTCATATGATACTTCATATACATTTTATTTTATAAAATTAATCACTATTGATCTATGCCTACTATTATCTCGACTTTTCAGGTCCCCATTGGATCTTTCCTAATTCCTTCACCCTCTCCCTCTACCCAGCAAACTCCGTCATCCTAGTGATACCCCTTCTCTCCACACTCCACTGCCCTACCCCCTCCTTTTCCCCTTTTGGACTTTTATACACATTTTATATCCTTATATTTTTACAATAACAGGATTATTTTTGCAGAATTTTTCTTTATGAGACTGAGTTCATTCAGCATAATGCTCTCTAAATTTTCCCACATTATGTAGTATTTTATGAAATTGTTGCTCCTTAGTGTTACATTTGTCTGTTAATGGACATTTGGGCTATTTCCATTTTCTTGCTATTGTGCATAATGCTGATATTAGTATACATGTACAAATCTCTGTGTCTTAGTTCTATTCTCCTAGCAGTGGAATAACTGTGTCATATGAAATTTCTAAGTTCAGCTTTTTGAGGAATCACCAAACTACCTTGGTAAATTCTTATACCACTTTACAATCCCACTAGCAGCATATGAGGGTTCTAATCTTTCCACATCCCCCCAACATTTATTGCTTCCTGCTCTGTTAAACTTTGCCACTGCTACTGGGGTGAGATGGTATCTCATTGTAGTTTTAATTTTCATCTCTCTTATTGCCAGTGATTTTGAACATTTCTTCATGTGTCTGTTGGCCATCCAAATGTCTTCCTTTGCTGCTTTCAGAACTCTTTCTTTGATTCTGGGAAATTCTATAATACGACTTGGTGGTTTTCTTTTGGTGTCTATTTTATTTGGAGTTTGCTTAGCTTCTTGGATGTAAATTTTCTCATTTTGCATGATACCAGGAAAATTTTCATCTAGTTACTCGTCCACTTTTTTTCAATGCCTTTTTCTGATTCTTCTTGTTCTGGAATTCTGATTGTTGTTGTATGCTGTCAAATTGGAACTGACCATAGTCAGTCACGCAGCTGATTTTCGGAGGCAGTAAAGCACACAGGAGGAAATTGTCCAGTTTTCTCCCACAGAACAGCTGATGGATTAGAATTGCATGCCTTTGTGATCACAGCACAACTTCTTACCACTAGGCTACAATTGTTGTTGTTAGGTAAGTGCCATCAAGTCGAGTACAACTCATAGCAACCTTATGAACAAAGATCTGAACCCTGTTCTATCTTGTGCCATCCTCACACTTCCTGATACACAACAGTCCATTCCAGCAGTCGCCATGTAAATCCACCTAGTTGAGGGTCTTCCTCTCCTTCGCTGACCCTCTACCCTTCCCAGCATCATGTTCTTCTCCAAGGAATAGCCCCTCCTAGCAACCTGTTCAAAGTATGTAAGGAGAAACCTCATCATCCTTGTCTCCAAAGAGCACTGCAGCTGCATACTCTCCAAGACATCTTTGTTTGTTCGCTTGGCCATCCATGTTCAATGCTCTTCTCCAATACCACAGCTCAAAGGCATCACTCTTTTTCTGCCATCCGTATTCATTGTCCAAGCTCTCAGACGCATTTCAAATTACAAGAGAGACTATGGCCTGACTAAGATGCACCTTAGTCCTCAAACTGATTTGGAGAGGCCCCTAACTGCAGATTTTTCCCAGTGCAATGTGTCTCCTGATTTTCTGACTGCTAGTACCAAGGGTGTTTATTGTGGATCCAAACAAGATGAAGCTTTTGACAGTTTCAATCATCTTTCCATTCATTATGATGTTGCCTACTAGTCTAGTGGTAAGAATCTTTTTTTCTTGACTTGTTTCAATTAACAGATGCAGCCTTGAATGTGCTCACTAGTCTATGCCGGGAAATTTGGAAGACATTTGTCAGGCTAATGGATTGAATGAGATCCATATTTGTCCCCATTCCCAAGAAAGGTGATCCAACTGAATGTGGAAACTATCAAGTAATATCATTAATATTAATGCAAGCAAAAGACTGTAGATCATTAAACAAATGGCTAGAACAGTACATAGATAGGGAACTGCCAGAAGTTCAGGCACGATTTAGAAGAGGCCATAGATCCAGGAATATCACTGTTAATGTTAGATACATCTTGGCTCAAAGTAAGGAATACCAGAAGAATGTCTATTTGTACTTTATTGACTATGCAAAGACATTTGATTGTGTGGATCATAACAAGTTGTGACTGACACTGAGAAGAATGAAGAGTACCAGAGCAATTAAGTGTGCTCATGTGAAACTTATACCTGGACTAGGAGGCTGTTGTGCAAACAGAACAGGGGAACACTACATGGTTTAAAATTGAGGAGTGAATCAGAGTTGTATTCTCTCTTTGTTTTTGAAGAATTTTACTATGATATGTCTTAATGTCTTTATTTCCAGGTTTAGTCTGTTTGGTGTTTCCTGAGTTTCTCTAAAGTCTATTTCTTCATTCTTCATGATACCTGGAAAATTTCCTTCTAATTCTTTTAATTCCCCCTTCACATTTTTCTTAGTACTTTTATTCTTATTCCCTTTTTTCTGGATTTCCAATCATATGTATGTTGTTTTGTTTGATTATCATTTCACATGATTCTTAAGTTTTCTTCCTTATCCTTTTGACTTCTCTCTTTTGTCATCCAGTAAGTTCTCAGTGAAATTCTTGATTTCTTTTTCACTTAGTCTGTTCTATCTATCCTTTATTTGTCCCTCTAACATGCTGGATATTTTTTCAACGTAGGTATTAATATTCCAATTTGCATTTTCATGTTATTTTATTGTTTCTAGTACTGTGTTGACTGTACCCCATCTGTCTTGCATTTTTGCTGTTTTTTATTAACTCTTTACTGATGGTTTTCTTTCTCTTCTTCATCATTTGTAACTTCTTCAGGAACTCAGTAACAGTGTATTTCTTCTTCCTTCCTGCCTCCAGGGTACTTATTGGGTTCTTGATCTGGTCTGCTTTTTCAGGAAAAGGCTTGTTTTGCTTTTTCATAGTGTTTGAACCTGACTGCTGTTTCTTTGGCATTATGTGAATTTCTTCTTGGTATGTATGAGGTAGCTTCTGTAGTGTCCTTGTGATTAGTTGCCAGCTCCTTATTTTTATATCAATTTCCAGAGTGCCATTTTCTCAGTGGGTCTCAGCTGTTGCAGCACGGGCTGCAGGCTTCAGTAAGAGATATACCACTGATATGCTTTTGGACTCTGGCAGGAAATGTAGGCTCAACAGAAAAGGCAACAGTCTAACTTCTGAATGAGAAGCCTGTGGTCTTTATGCTTTTGAACATGGGGGCAGGGGCTGGGGGCAGGTTCACCAACAGTTGAGCAGCAGCCTATCAGCATTTGTTCAAGGCCAGTGATCTGTTTTCTCCTGTCAGGGACAGAGAGAGCATCCTCTGCAGCAAAGGTAGCAATTTATTTTAGGGTCAGGAAGCCTGTGGCCTGCATGCTTCTGGGCCTGGGTCAGGAGCCAGGCTTACCAACAGTGGCTTCAGTGCCCTGTGACCTGTGGACTCTTGTGCTGATACTGGGAGCCATTGTCATTGTTTCTTAATGATATACTTCCTGGAATTGGTAACGCCCACCTTTTGGTACATTGACTCTGTGTATTTCTTCAATATTCTTTTGATGCTTCTTGCATCATTTGAGATTTTGCCCATCGAATCCTTCAATATTACAATGTGAGACTTGAATTTGTTCTTTTGTTCTTTCAGCTCGGAAAGTGCTAAACATTGTCTTCCTTTTTGGTTTTTCTAACTTTGCTTTATATTCTTGAGTATCCTTTTGAAATCTTCTGTTCATCTATTTTACTTGAGCATTTATTCTCTTAATTTTGGCCTCTATAATTCTAATTCAATTTTCAGAATCTCTTCTGACATCCATTTTGGTCTTTTCTTGGTCCCCTATCTTTGTAATGATCTTTTGCTTTCTTCATGGATAATAGCGTTGATGTCAGTGTTCAGTATATCAAATATATTCCTGAGACGATTTTTAAATTCTGATGGGATAAACTCAAGGTTTTATTTTTGTTTTTGTGAACTTTTAAATTTTTAATCAACTTCAATTTGAACTCTCACATGATTAATTGTCCATTTAACATTCATGTACTGGCTTTGTTTTGACTGTTGATATTGAGCTTCTTTATCAACTCTTCTCATGGTAATAGTCAATCTGATTCCTGTGTAATCTGTCAAGTGAGTTCCATGTTTATAGTCACCAACTGTGATTTTTTAAAAATTATTTCAGCAAAGACTAAATCGTACATTGTATAAAATTCTGTCTTTCAATCTCCAACTTCATTTCTCTCACAGAGTCTGTCTTTTCCAACCACCAAACCTTCTTTGTTTTCAAATTTTGCTTTCCAATCACCAGTTATTATCATCATTATTGCATGATTAACCAATTTCAGAATGAGAAAGTTAGTAGACTTCAATTTCTTCATATTTGACTCTAATGTTGGTGTCTGTAATAAATTAATACCTGTATTAATAAGTCTTCTTTGTATGAGCATGAACAGTATTCTATCATTCCCAGAGTTATCTCCAGAAGAGAACTTGGAATAGGTTTTTGTTTGTTTGTTTTCTGGTTTGTGTTTTTTTACTAGAAGTTCATCACTATTCTTCTTATATAATTGTCTGATTCAAAGTGACCAATACCAATCCATCTCAGCTCACTATTGGCTAGAGTGCTGATATGTCTGTGTTCCGTTTCATTTTTTACAACTTCCACTTTTTCTAAATTCATAATTTGTACATTCTATGTTCCAATTACTAATGGAAATTCACAGCTGTTTCTCTCTATTCATTGAGTGTCTTCCAACCTGAGAGTCTCATCATTCATATCACATCCAACAATGTTCTTCTGGTTATTTATAAGGCTTTTGAAAGCCTATTATTACAGAAGCGGATGGCCAGTCCTGCTTCTTAGTTTTTCTTAGTCTCGAAAGTCTACTGACTCTTGTTCAGCATAGATGACCTTGCTAGTATTTTAAATGTCAGAGGTATAGTTTCTACCATCACAGCTACTTGTAAGACAAACTTATACACCAGTACCTAATGAAATCTATAAACATGCAAGCAAGCACATACACAAACTATAAAAGAAACATCAACATGTAAATCACTCTCCCAATACAGCAAACTGACAGATAAATACTGTATTCATAAGAGTAAACTGTAAAACAAGCAAGCATACAAATAGAATAAAACAAACCTACATATTATGAAAAGTAGAAAACAAACTGTCTAGCCTGGAACAATGCATTATCAGCTCAGCAGAAAACTAAAGTTTGGGTGCTCAGTCAGGTCACAGAGTTTCTGCTAATATGAGTGGTGACCAAAGCCTAGACATGGATAGCCTTTCTTCTGGTCAAGGGTGTGTCAAAAGGGTACCCAGTCTGGGTCATAATTTCTGCTGTCCTCAGTGCAGTATGCACTAATTTTCCTTGCTTGTGATGGTGCCTTTGCCAGTCCAGAGGATGTATGCAGGTAGGTGGCCCACTCAGAGATGTCTAGCATAAAAAAGACAGTCACTGCCAATCTGACATGTTCATGTATGGTCATAGAGTGTGTTGAGTAAGAGTGTACAGTAAGAAGGAAAGCCTATCATCACAGGAAACACGCCTACTAATCCAGAGACTGGTTGCAGGCTGGATGCACAGTTGACAGGCCCTGGGAAGAATGCTCTGAGAACTTCCTGCCCAAGATACAAGTGGACATGGGGTTGAGGTACAGCTGGGTCTTGATATGGTAATACTGTCCATTATTTGGTGAATAGTTGGGGAGTGGGAATGAGAGTACAAGTGGTCACATTGTGCTGTTTATGGTTCTGTGTCCTGTTACTCTCCTTATTTGATACTTCAGTTCAAGGTGTTTTTTTTTGGGGGGGGGGACTTCCCCTTTTTTGGTTTTGATTTTAACAAAAGTTTACAAAACAGTGGATTTTCATTGATTCACTCACTGTTGCATATTTTCCTCCCTAACCCTGCCACAGTTCACTTTTTAAAAAATATTCATTCATTGTTGCATATTTTCCTCACTCCCCACTCCTCTTATTCTGGACTATTGTCATATATATATAATACCAAATTATATAGTCCTTTTAAACAGTTCTTTCTTTTATCTGTTCCAATACAGTGTTCCTTATTTATCTGCTCTTTTCTCAGTTTTACTCCCATGTCAGTCGAGTTTTATAACAATGGCATTATGCACTATTTGTCCTTTTGTGATTGAGCTTTCACTCAGCATAATGTCCTCCTTGATGCCTCATTTTTGTATATTTGATGAGTTCCTTGTTTTTCAGTGTTGTGTAGTATTTCATTGTGAGAGTATACCACAGCTTCTCTGTCCATTCATTCGCTGATAAACAAGCACTTGGGTTGCTTCCATCTCTTTGTTAATGTAAATAACACAGCAATAAACATGGGTGTGCATGCGTCTGTTTTGGTGGCAGCTCTGGTTTCTTTAGAGTATATTCCCAGTACTGTGATTGCTGAGTCACATAGTATTTCTATTTCCAACTTTCTGAGAAAGTGCCAGACCACCTTCTATAGTGGCTGTTCCATTTTACATTCCCAACAGCAGTAAATAAGAGTTCCAATCTCTTCACAACCTCTCTAGCATTTGTTGTTTGTTGCCCTGTTGAATTTGGATATTTGCTGGGGTGAGATGATATCTCATGGTTGTTTTACTTCAATTTTGAAAACTTTGCACCTGCTGTCCAATGCCATCACCTTCTTGGGTTCCATATGTATATGTATGTATATAAATTTATGTATAAACAGTACAGTGTAACAATTTTGAAAAGCTGTTCTTGTGGTGTTAGAGCCCAGGATGCAATGGCATCAGCAGCAGTATCTACACATCTGAAAAGGCCCAATATCTTCTCTTCTATGTCCATACCCACACCCCTACCACTCACCAAATGGTGGGCAGTATTACTCTCCCCAAGACCTAGTTCAACTTCAGACCCATACACGCGTTATCTTTTTTTTGTTGTTGTTAATTTTTATTTTATATTGGTTTGCTTACAAAGTTCATTACATTGTGTGTCACACTAGTCTTCACTCATATTGTGTTTCATACATCATTGTGATACATTATTTTTGTTTGTTTGTTTTCTTGTTGTGTACCATCAAGTCGGATCTGACTGGCACAGGAGGAGATTGCCCTGCCTTCTCCAGCAGAATAT